AACGGGGTGACGGGGAACATTTGGTTCGATTCCGGAGAGGGAGCCTGAGAGACGGCTACCACTTCCAAGGAAAGGCAGCAGGCGCGCAAATTACCCAATCCTGACACAGGGAGGTAGTGACAATAAATACCAATGCACGGTGTTTTTATACACTGTGCATTGGAATGAGAACAATGTAAAGACCTTATCAAGGAACAATTGGAGGGCAAGTCTGGTGCCAGCAGCCGCGGTAATTCCAGCTCCAAAAGCGTATACTAAAGTTGTTGCAGTTAAAAAGCTCGTAGTTGGATTTCATGCGGGGTTCACGGTGTGTGGTGGGGGTGAGACACTGTTTCGCCTCCACCTCTCACTGTTGCACTCTGCAGTTTTAATATTCCCTGGTGGCGCCTTTGGCGCGTGCCCTTGATTGGGTGTGTGTCAAGTCACGTAGTGGTGGGGCGCTGTTGGGGGCTTTACTTTGAAAAAATTAGAGTGTTCAAAGCAGGCAGTCATTTGATTTGCTTGAATAGATTAGCATGGAACAACGGAAGAGGACTTTTGGGCCTGTACTGTTGGCGTGTGGTGCGGGGTGTGTGGAGTGAGAAACCGCAAGGTTTTCTTGTTCCTCCCTCACCACATCGGGTCTGAAGTAATGATTAATAGGGACGGTTGGGGGCACTGGTATTTCGTTGTCAGAGGTGAAATTCTTGGATTTACGAAAGACCGCCGACTGCGAAAGCATTTGCCAAGGACGCTTTCATTGATCAAGAACGAAAGTTAGGGGATCGAAGACGATTAGATACCGTCGTAGTCTTAACCATAAACGATGCCGGCCAGGGCTCGGTGGGCAGCACAAACTTTTATCAAGTGGTGGCGCCATCGGGACCTTTAGGGAAACCAAAGCGTTTGGGTTCCGGGGGGAGTATGATCGCAAGATTGAAACTTAAAGGAATTGACGGAAGGGCACCACCAGGAGTGGAGCCTGCGGCTTAATTTGACTCAACACGGGGAAACTCACCAGGTCCAGACATGGGAAGGATTGACAGATTGACAGCTCTTTCTTGATTCCAAGGGAGGTGGTGCATGGCCGTCCAGCTTTTGTTGTGAAATCTCTGTTTGATTACGGTAAACGGCGAGACCTTGACTTGCTGATTGGTGTGCGCCTGCGTCAGCAGGCGTTGGAGATTACGCGCAAGCGTGTCTTTTGATACACCACTCAGAGGGACACTCGGCGTTGCTATTGAGCGTAAGCCGAAGGAAGTTTGAGGCGATAACAGGTCTGTGATGCCCTTAGATGTTCTGGGCTGCACGCGCGCTACACTGACGGGGGCAGCGAGTATGCTTTGGGTGTTTGTGGTGGGGAAAGTCTTGTGCTTTCTGCATTCATGAACATCTATTCCTGCGCTGGAAGGCGTGGGGACTCTTGTGAAAACCCGTCGTGCTGGGGATAGATGCTTGCAATTATTCATCTTGAACGAGGAATTCCTAGTAAGCGCAATTCAACAGATTGCGTTGATTACGTCCCTGCCCTTTGTACACACCGCCCGTCGCTACTACCGATTGAATGGTTTAGTGAGGCCTCGGGATTGGCGCGTGGGCGCTGGCAACAGCTGCCCATGTGTTTCTTTGCTGAGAACCTGGTCAAACTTGATCATTTAGAGGAAGTAAAAGTCGTAACAAGGTTTCCGTAGGTGAACCTGCGGAAGGATCATTCCAACAAGGAAAACGCTGAAAAGCGTGGTTGGTGAGGGATGGTGAAAATTGGTGACGGATGGTGAGGGAAGGTAGAGACACTTGACTGAGCCAACTGAGCCAACCGAGCCAACTGAGCCAACCAACTGGCCAAATCGCTCTCACACGCTTTTGTGTGTGGGAGTGAGCATTGTGTGAATGAAGACAAAACAAAGCAAAAGCATGTGCATGCGTGCATGAGCATTGTGAGTGTCGCAGTGGAGCACGCATATTGTGTGTGTTGCATTGCGATGGCAGTGCTTGTGTGCGTGTGCGATGTTACATTGTTTGCCTCGTGCAAAGAAGAAGAAATGAACACGGCAAGCAAGCGTGTGTTTGGATTGTTGTTGTGGCAGCGGCTGCGATTGCACACACATGACAGTGTGGGCGAAAGCATGCGTACTGCAGCAACAACAACCAAAAGATGTGTGCTGTGCTGTGGACATACGTACATACATAATAACCACAAACCAGTGAGTGAGAGAAAGAGGGCGAGAGAGAGTGTGTTGTGATGCGTGTTGTGTGACAACAAACATTGTGCGTTGGATTACACACACATTCACATGCACTGCAACCACTCTCACTTCAATCTCAACATCTCATTCAACACAACCAAATTAATAACCATGAGACAACTTTCAACGGTGGATCTCTTGGCTCGTGCATCGATGAAGAACGTGGCAAGACGCGAAATGTAGTGTGAATTGCAGAATTCCGTGAATCATTGAATCTTCGAACGCACATTGCGCCTGTGTGTGTGGGCATGCGCCATTGTGTGCGTGTCTGTGCGTGCGGGCATGTCTGCCTGAGTGTCGCCACTCAATCTCATTGACAATGCGTTTTTGTGTGCTTATGAGGGTGTGAGTATGTGTGGGTGTATTTGATTACTGCAACTATGCAGCAGCAGCAGCAGCGCACCTTTGTTGGTGTGGTGTTTGTTTGTTGTGTAGCAGTATGAAGAAGCGCCCATGCGTCATGCACTCATATCCCATTATTGCACTGTGCATTGTTGGTGGCCATGGGGTGTTAGTCGATGCGGTGCACACACATTTTTGCTGTGTGTATTGTGTGAGACTGGACTCTGAAGAGGAGAGCTTACGACTCCATTGCGATGATGATGGTGATAGTGACTGTGACGAAGAAGGAGTGGGTGTTTGTGTGTGAGCATGTGGATTGCATTGCACGATGATACGATGCCTTGTGCGCTGTGTTGTTGTTGTTGATGTGATTCACACCTCACACACATCCCATTCTCTATTCTCATACTGTTGTCATCACTCACTGTCGCTGTGTGGGTGCCGTTGTTGCGAGACCACGGCAAGCACACGCATGCTGTATCTGCATATGCAGCAGTATACAACAAAGCTGTGGAGCGATGTGTCAACTGGCATCGTTGTTCTGCAACGTGTGTATGCTGTGTGTGTGTGTGAAGAGGCATGTGCACTTGTGTGCTTGCATCTTTATGTGGCTTTTGTGACACTGGTCATGTGAGCAAAAACACTGATGAAGAAGAGAGGGAACGAATGAGAGAGAGAGGAAAGCTGGATGAGTGATGGACGGAGCACTGTTTAGTGTGCACAGCACTGCA